GTGTGTTGGTATGTGTGCTGGTGTGTGTGCTGGTGAGTGTGTTGGTGTGTGTGCTGGCATGTGTGTTGGTGTATTGAGTTAGTTGTGTGTTGGTGTATGAGTTGGCATTTGCACTGGTGTGTGTGTTGGTGTGTGTGTTGGTGTGTGTGTTGGTGTATATCACTCCTACAGGCTTCCTACCACATTGTCTCATAAATTTAGGCTCCTTTACTTCCTCAGTTTCCTACAGTGTTTTCACAAATTTTGAATCCCCCTCTCCCCAACATGTTGTCGTGTGTGTGGGTGTGTGTGTTGGTGAGTGTGTTGGTGTGTGTGCTGGCGTGTGTGTTGGTGTGTGTGCTGGCATGTGTGTTGGTGTGTGAGCTGGCGTGTGTGTTGGTGTGTGTGTTGGTGTGTGTTGGTGTGTGAGCTGGCATGTGTGTTGGTGTGTGTGTTGGTGAGTGTGTTGGTGAATGAGCTGGCGTGTCTGTTGGTGTGTGTGCTGGAGTGTGTGTTGGTGTGTGTGTTGGTGAGTGTGTTGGGGTGTGAGCTGGTGTGTGTGTTGGTGTGTGCGCTGGTGGGTGTGTTGGGGTGGGTGCGGGGGTGTGTGTTGGGGTGTGTGGTGGTGTGTGTGTTGGGGTGTGTGTTGGTGAGTGGGTTGGTGTGTGGGCTGGGGTGTGTGTTGGGGTGTGTGGTGGTGTGTGTGTTGGGGTGTGTGTTGGTGAGTGGGTTGGTGTGTGGGCTGGGGTGTGTGTTGGGGTGTGTGGTGGTGTGTGTGTTGGGGTGTGTGTTGGTGAGTGGGTTGGTGTGTGGGCTGGGGTGTGTGTTGGGGTGTGTGGTGGTGTGTGTGTTGGGGTGTGTGTTGGTGAGTGGGTTGGTGTGTGGGCTGGGGTGTGTGTTGGGGTGTGTGGTGGTGTGTGTGTTGGGGTGTGTGTTGGTGAGTGGGTTGGTGTGTGGGCTGGGGTGTGTGTTGGGGTGTGTGGTGGTGTGTGTGTTGGGGTGTGTGTTGGTGAGTGGGTTGGTGTGTGGGCTGGGGTGTGTGTTGGGGTGTGTGGTGGTGTGTGTGTTGGGGTGTGTGTTGGTGAGTGGGTTGGTGTGTGGGCTGGGGTGTGTGTTGGGGTGTGTGGTGGTGTGTGTGTTGGGGTGTGTGTTGGTGTGTGTGTTGGCGAGTGTGTGGGTGTGTGAGCTGGTGTGTGTGTTGGTGTGTGAGCTGGCGTGTGTCCTGGAGTGTGGCGCTGTACACTATTACCTTCACTGGGCTCTTTCCAGAGAGGCTCTGGGCTGTGTTCTCCAGCCTTGCTGTCCCATCTCCACAAGGACAAACTTGTGACTGCCATAGCCTACTGCAGATGGTCATAAATGCCAGGGAACCAAGTTTGCTCCTCAAATAGCAGCAAGGGAATGAAGTGGAAGACATTAGGTTAACTGTGCTCATTTGCTTTGACCTCAGCCATGACACCAGTGTCATTTTGAGCTCTCAGGGCTAGGTATATGTGGCGGTTTTGGCATGCATGACTCCATTTTAAGGTCCTCAACCCATTTTCCTGATGAGTTGATTGGGACTCAGGAAAGCAAAGCAGCTTACGATTCCCACAGGGAATCAAAGGGCTCAAGATTCCCACAGGGACCCTGGTTCCCAAGGTCGGTGTATGCTCTGGTTTTCTGCTTTAGTTCCAGTGTGTATCATAAAAACACATTTCACAAGTGTGAATCTGGTGTTGCATAACCAAACTTCACATTAAGGTGCCCCATCCAGGGCACTGGTTATGTTGAACTCTCTTTTGCTCACTCTTCTAATCATTAAACAGAGCTCAAAGCAAGGACCAAGCCTACCGTATCGAATTGTTTCACTTCTAGATGAGAAACATTCCTACTTGCTAAGCTTGGCCATCTAATACCCAACGGATGTGCAATTGTTTATTGTTTGTTTGTTTGTATTTATTTTGTACTGCAAACTCATGTGGCTTTATAATGTATCCTCAATTTTGTGTCGAAATACATTTTCGTTGTGATGTGCAGCTGACCCTGGGTGGCGCCTGTGTTGATTTCCTTATAGGATGTAAATGAGGGAATGAACCAAGTGAAGCATGGTGGTTGTGAGGGCACAAGGTTGTCCTTATGACCTGACTATGTTAGGGACTTTGCTCACTGCTCAGCTTCCTTGTCTATCAAAGGGAAGAGTAACAGCAACTGCCTGGCAGGTTGCCTCAGACATTAAATGTAATGTGGTAAAAGAGGCATTGTGGGTAGTGACGTAGTAAATGAGGCATTGTGGGTAGTGACGTAGTAAATGAGGCATTGTGGGTAGTGACGTAGTAAATGAGGCATTGTGGGTAGTGACGTAGTAAATGAGGCATTGTGGGTAGTGACGTGGTAAATGAGGCCGAGTAATAGTGCCTCAACTGTGAACTGTATTTTAATCTTAGCTCTGTGCACAGCAGTAGCTCACACAGCTGCTCTGGGCCACAGGTTTTTACATCTGTAAAATGTAGACAGTTATCCCTACATTGCAGCCATTGTGATGCTGAAGTGGATTGATAGTAACCAGCTCATTGAGTTATACACGCAACCAGTGACAGGAGGGTTGACATCAGAGGTCAAGGCTCCTACCCTGAAGCTCTCACCCGTCTCCTGCTATTTCCTGCACTTTCTCACCCTAGAACTCTGAGTAGTATGAGATCAATATAATCAAAGGGCAGCCCTACTTATAGCCCCAAACTCAGGTGTGTTACACTTGTGTCTACAAAGAGACAGCTGAAGAGACCAAGGAGGCTTAAATACTCATCATGCTAGCTGCTCTTGAGGAATTTAACCCTCAAAGCACATGTGGAGTAGAGAACAGGCCAAGCGAATGTGCTACACAGAGTTGGCTGGGCAGCTTAATTGTCAGAGAAATGCCGTGTTTTAAGAAGCAGAAGAAGGTACCATTGATGGCTTCACAGCAGTGGTTGCCCAAAGAAGCATTCAGGTACTGCTTCCTAGAGCCTGTGCCTTCTGATATGGAAAAGAGTCCTTGCATGTGTGGTCCGGTTAAGGACATCAGGCTGTGAAGAGAATGTCAAATGGGCTCTAAATACAAAGATGGGAGATTTGACCCAGAAGAGAAGAAAGTGATGAGGCAACTAGCCAAGGGGCAGGAGAGCCACCAGGAGCTGTCAGAAGCACGTGACAGTCTTCCCTGGAGCCAGAGCAGTGTGACCATGCTATTCATAATGCCATTCAGATCAGGGGCCTGATGTCTGCCTCCCTATGCCCAGAACAGGAAAGAATAAATTGCTGCTTCCAGCCACCAAATTTGCAGTCGTTTGTTATATAGCAGTCACCAGAAGCACAGTGTAAAAGTTGGATCTGCAACTGGTGGGACTTTGCAGGTCCAAGTGGTTGGCAGTTTGAGGTGTGACACCCCTTGGATAAGATGTATCTCAAGACCCCCTTTCCCCCAACTTGTTAACTTGAAAAGACCACTGAATGCACCACGTATGACTGAAGAGCACTGGACACCTCTTTCCATCCCACAAACTGTCTCCCTGAATAGCACAGGAAGGTTCTAGAAAGAATAAAGCCAAGCCAAGAACATGAAGCACCCAGCATCAGACAAGAACCGGTTTCACAGCTTTGTCTGAAGTTAAGTCTGCTGGGAGTCGGTGGGAAGTCTCATAAGCTGCTATTTTTTTAACAGACTGTCTCTAAAGGCATTTTTCTTTTTTTAGGGTCGGCAGCCCCCTTTGCTTCGCCCCGTGGCTTTCTGTATTCTCCCACTCTCGTCATTATTTCATGCACCGCAGAGTGATTACTGCTGCTATAAAGTTATCGCTTGAGCAAACACAAGGAAGAATGAACTTTGTGGTGGGTGTCACAGGGGCCAGGCTTTTTCTGTAACACACATGCAACCACCCATCATTCCGGCCTCCAGCAGGCACCAAGTCTGAATAGGGTGTGGTACCAACTGCAGATGCTCAGCTCAGAGTCCTCAGATAAACCACGGCAGCCTTGGGCCCTCCTGACAGGATTCTTGCAGGTTGGGTATATGGGTTCCATAGCGCCCCCCCATGCCACCTATGTAGCTAAGACATGTTGGACCGTGTGATGTCTCCCTGGCTCCTTCTGTAGACCACCCACTTGCTCAACTTGCTTTGGATGTATGGTGGGGTTTGACCTGCGCAGAGGCTACTCAGGCACCACCACCTCATAGAGGAATGGCTTCTAGTTGGCTGTCTGATAGGGGATGCTCTTCTGTATATATGTTTCTCTTTATTGTTAATGAATAAAGCACTGTTGGCCAATAGGGAATCAATAGGAGAGACTAAGAGAGGCAGAGGATTCTGAGAAATGTAGGTAGTGTCAGTCACCATGTAGGATGGGAGAGGAGTCTGGAGTCTTTCTCCAGTAAGAGAAGACCACGTGGAAATACATTATTAGAAACCGGTTAATAATTTAGACAGAGCTAGCCAATAAGAAGCCATAGCCAGTGGCCAACAGTTCCATAATTAACATAGCATCTGTGTGATCATGTGGGGCTGAAGTGGAGGCAGGGCCTGGCTGAGCCAGAAACGTTCACATTACAGCCGTCTCATCATGTCTCTTGCTCATGGCAAACTGGATCCTCCTGCATTATTTTGGCTAAAGATTATTGGCTTAGTACTTAATTTTGAGTGTTTTTATTTTTTACATAACTCTGCACTTGGTTCTCTTTTTTCTTAGACTTAAATTTTGACCATACATCCATCCTTTAACCCTGCTCTTTAGCCACTACAGTCCTCTCAGCTAGAGTGTCCCCTCCTCCCGTGAACACAGTCCTTAAGGGAGCCATCACAAGATAAAAGCTGAGACCTCATAACCATCAACAAGCTTTAATGGAACCTCTGGCAGCCACAGGACTTTGGCAGCATCCCAGGAACCTCTCCATCCAGGCAGCATTCCTGTGAGTCGCTCCTGAAGTGTGTGTGGTGGCAAGAGCCAGAGTTCAGCTCCACAGTTAGCCATGAGGACCACAGGGCTCATGGATTCATGGAGGAGATACCCTAAGAAAATTTCCCGAGATAGTAGTTTTCCCACCTCCGCACTTTGTTGGTGAGGGCCTTCCACTTGCTCAGGCTGACCTTTTCAATCCCTTTGCTGATTAAGTCGCTGAAAAGTATGTACTGGTAAGTGTAGACATCATCAGCAGACTGCAGACAGAATTCTTTCCTGTTGTTGATGATAAACCATTTCATAGACGACCAGGCCGAATCTAAGGGGTTCAGGTAGTTATACAGGGAGGGCAGAGAGATTAGTTCATGGCCGTAGGACTTGGCCACTCCTGGGGAACACACGATGCTTGTTAAATTGATGCTTGTTGGGACATAGGCCTGGGCCTCCCCCTCCATGTCTGCCTTGGGCTTCGTCTCATCTTGCTGCCTTTGCCCTTTGACCACGATGGCGCACTTCCCGTAGGCCTTCTTTATGACATCGCAGAACTCAAAGAAGAGGCTGTCTTCCTGTTTGATACATAGGTCATCTCTTAAGAACATCCGGTATTTCCAAGGCACCCACCCCTGGCTGCCTCCAGCATGCAGAATACACCAGGTGGGGCTGTGCATGTAATAGCTGTCGCTGAAATCTTCCCCGGTGACAAGAGTCTCTGGGATCTCAGTTTCCCCAAAATACACAGTCTTATACCCATCGTACTGCAGTGTCCTCAGAGTGTTCAGATACTGCAGGCACTGTTTCCTTCTGACGCTGTCAAACTGCGTTCGGATAACAATGCTCTTCAGGAGAGAGTTTGTCAAGCGAGCCATGGGGCTCCCCAAGTGGCTTACATCTCCCCATCTGGGGAGTTCTGGAAGGAGAAGGGCGATGACCCCATAAAAGGCTTTGTCCACAGCTATGCCAGATGCAAAGCATCGTGGATGATGACCTCATAAAGGGCTTTCCCACAGCTGTAGCTACACTTCACATGCAAAGCATCCCGAGCCGCGTGCTCAGAACACCCTTGTCTATGGACAAGGGCGCCCAGCATCACTCTGGAATAGACTTCTTATGGTGGTCAAGTTTCTGGCTCCTCTCCATTTGGGTTATCATGTGCCTCCATCCCTTCCAAAGGTATTTACTGGTTTGCACCGTGTGTCAGGGGATAGCATGATGTGTCCAGGGAGGCCCGGAATGTGAGTGTTGTGTGTCTGTGGACATGGGAAAATCATGCCACCTGCCTGCCTACCTTTACAGCTGTTTTCCTGGGTGGCAAACAAGCTGCCTGCCTGTTCCTCTCAGGGGCTGCCAAAATTTGAGCTGATTTAGTACATTATCTGAAAAGCAGTGAATGTGTGACAGCTTTTTAAGACAAGGTCTTGCTGTGTAACCCTAAGTGGCCCTGTATTTGGCCCAGGCTGGCTTTTACTTTTAGCAATCCTCCTGCCTCAGCCGTTTAAATTCTGGGATCATAAATGTGCATACACACTCAGCAGCCCTTTAGTTCTGTACTTGGGGATTATGACTGTTTGCCTCACTTTCTCTCTGCCTTTTTACTTTAATTTCCTTTGTTTTTTCTTGTCCTTCAATCAAAGCCGACAGTTGTTGATAAATGTGCTAATTGGTTCTCCAGATGACAGTGTGGGCAACATGACTTGTCTGGTCATTTGCTTCTGTGTCAACTGAATGGGAACTTCTTCCCTGACCAGGGTCCGCCAGGGTTGTTTTGGGACTCGGTTAAACCCAGGCTGTCACCATAGCCAAGTTCAGATGAAATGTGGTTTTCAGACATGCCAATCCCCCCCCCCCCCCCCCCCCCCCCCCCCCCACAGCAGCAGGGTTTGTAGATGTCTTGTGGCCATTTTCTCTGGAGACATCTCTTTAGCAGTGGAAAACTCTTTTCAATCAAATTTGAATTAGATCCCAACCATGTGAGCAGAGTACTCTGGGTGGCCCGATGGTCCCCCATTCGAAACCTCCACTCATTTCCTCTCCCACCTGAAGGGACCCAACAGGCTGCGACGGCAATGCAGAATCTATTGAGCGCAACAGTGTTGATTTTGACAAAATGTCCTGTTTCCCTCCTTAGAAGTTATGGACATGAGAACTTGTTAGGAGTGAGGGAGAAAGTCCAGGATGTGTTTTGTGTGTGTGCAGGTTTGCACATTTGATAATGAGCTGTAGCTTATCCAGGCCCACAGCCACACCCCCTACAAGGCACCTTACAGGTTTCCTAACCAAGAGCCTCTTCTGATGACAGACTGGATGACACCTGCCCTTGCCTGGCTCCCTCAGTGGCGCTATCCTATCCCTTGAAGGTCTGGCTTTCAACAATCAGTTGAAACTTATACCTCAGTAGACAGTCCTGCCTGTGTCTGTTTGACTGACCGACTGACTGACTTCTGGACACTCCCAGTCTCCCCAGATGTGCTCTTGGGGTGATAACTTCCAGTGAGAAGTAGCTCGGCCATGCAGGCTCAGCTGCTCCTGACTAGAAACATAGTTTTTGAGCACGTTAGTACTGGGAGTGGCTCTGTCCCCTTTACCTACTATCGATCAATCAATTCCCTGTGGCCCATGTTATGGAAATAAACACCATCACCCCATTTACAAAGCAAACAGAGGCCAAGTGCCCTCCCTTCTCTCCTCAACTGAGAGAAGACTCCTCGGTCACTTCTTTTTCTACTGAGGTCTCTGCTTCAGTTCCCTCTTGAGTTCCGACCCTGACTTTCCTCAGTGACTGACTGTGAACTGGAAAAGTGGAAGCTAAAAGAGACCCTTTCCTCCCCCAAGTTGCATTGGTCATGGTGTTTATCATACTAACAGAAAGCAAACTAGGGCAGACGGAATAGAAACACCAGAGGGCTTCAAAATCTGATGGATTTACCCTGAGTTTCTGTTGGCTGTGTGACAGTACAAAAATCTCTTAGCTTCTCTGGCCTCAGCTTCCCGGAACCTCCTTTGTGGTGTCTGTGAGAGGGCGATCAAGGCTGGTGTGTGTAAATGCACCAGCACTGTGTAAGGTCCTTCAAAGCAGATCCCCTCCCTTAAAGGTTTAATGGTTGCCAGAATAGACTTAATGGCCCATGTGTTAGGTATCCCCCTAGGAGCACCCCTGCCAACATCTCTGGGCTTAGACTAACAACATACTCCATCATGGCCCACTGTGGGGTCCGAGGTGTCTGTGTTGCGCTTTGTGTGCTTTGTGTCCTCCCACAGACTCACAGTTTGTAAATTTTGTCCCTAGATGATGGCACATTTTTGGACATGGTGTAAAAATGGGGGTTGAGCATAATTGGAGGAAGTAAGTCCAGGAGGTGTGCCTCTGAAGGTTATACCTGGTCCCCAGGTCTCTCTCTCTCTCTCTCTCTCTCTCTCTCTCTCTCTCTCTCTCTCTCTCTTTCTCTCTCTCTCTCTCTGCATCCTTCTGCCATGAGGGGGAGATGAGCCGGCATAGGCTCCAGCAATAGGGCAGGGGGTGAGGGTGGGCATCACAGGCTCATGCCACCACAGTGCTCTGTCCAAGTGCTTAGAAGTGAGCGACTCTGGCCAAACCCTCTGCAACTGGGTCCCAAGCTAATCTTTTCTCCCCAAATTTACTCCTTCCAGGTGTCTTTCTCACGGCTGTGTAGAACTAAGCAGGATGGCCTGTGTCCTCTAAGTCCTTGTAAACCTTGGGCTTCTTTCTTGGGGTTCTGAGAGTGTCCAGCCTTTGTCCTGCCCCTCTGGGGACAGGTCAGCTTTACCCATGACAGACATCTTGTCTGGCCTTAGTGTAAGGCAGAGTGTGGGATGGATCTGGCATCTGCTTTTTGTGTGTTTTTGCTAATTAAGCTTTTCAGTGTGTTCCATGTGAAGTGTGTTTGTAAGTAGGGGTTGTAGGGCAAAGCTTGGCTTGGAGAGAAGGAGGCTCCCTGCTGCCTATGTACTGATGAGTCTGGTCCATGCCTGAACAGACTGGTGGTCACTTGTGTGGAAAGTGATGATGGCCTTTTACAAGCCAGGAGGGCTGCAGCTGTGGTTCAAACAGTGCCCTCCTGATAAAGGACGGTGACAGTGTTACTATTCTCCGAAGAGCTCCAGGCTTTGTGTGCACACAGAATGGCAGGATCCACAGACGACCTTTGCTGACTGCTCTCACTGTGTTGAATTTTCAGGAGTGTCTAACTTACAGCATGAATGTAGATGCTGGATGGGGTGTGTGTCTTTTTCTGACCTACCCTATGGTACATCAATTAGTTTTCTCAACTCGGTTGTAATTTGTTATTGGACAGCTCATTCACACTTTCCTGGCAGGGTCCATATCCTGTACAAGAGTCTCTGTGTGGCCCACACTGATGTCACCGCTGCCAGGCTGAGAGAATCTGACTGGTGGGGGTGACCATCTGCTCTGAACTACACAAAACCAAGAGAGGGTGGTTGCTTATAAATGTGATCTGCTCTGCCTCCTGGCTCTGTAGGCATTTATTCAGTGCCAGGGCCCTTGGAGGTTCCTGGAGGGAAACTCCACAACTCTTCCTTCCATCACACCCCTAACTGCTGGCCAGATTGCCTGCCTCTCCACTGCTCCTCTGAGTGTGTGTGTGTGTGTGTGTGTGTGTGTGTGTGTGTGTGTGTGTGCATGTGTGCATGTGTGTGTATGTGTGTGTAGGTATAAATACACCACAGATATATTTACATATATACATATATGTAAATATATGTATGTATATATATAATATATATATACATAGAGAGAGAGAGAGATTTGTGTAGAGGTAGATTGAATTATATATGCATGTAGGTATGTGTGCATGTGTGTATGTAGGTACAAATACACCAGATATATTTACATATGTATGTATATATAGATAGAGATCTGTGTAGAGGTAGATTGAATTGTATGTCTGTGGGAATATTTAGCAAGAGAAGAGCAGGGACTGAGGAAGCACCAACAAGAGCACAGTATAACGACATGGAAGTACAATAATTAAGTGCATTTGAAAACTCATGGAAACTTAATTCAAGAAGTAAAAGGGGGACTTACCAAACTCTGAAAAACACCCAGTGCTAAAGCCATCAACACCGTCATTGCCATCTCTGCTACCACCAATCAGCAGCATTGGCTGTGCCCATTCAGTCACCACCACCACAACACGCCTCTATTTGGGGACTTTGCATTTCAAAACACAATCACATGCTGGCGCTCAGTAGAGCTTGTCTATGCCATATGGCTGGCAGCCCTGGCACCATTCTCCTCAGGTGACCTGTAAACTAAGTTTCAAAGAAGCCCAGTAATATGTTCTCAGAAGTCAAAACAGGGTTAAACATGCCCAGACCAGAGTCTGGGCCTCCTGAGTAAAACGGGTGCTTTGTTCAGTGCCCAGGACTCTTCCAGAGAAACTGAAAAGTTCTAAGCTTCTGCTATGAACAGCTTTGGTCCTAAATTCTGTGGAGTAAGTCTTTAAAATGAAGTCACTTTGGGTGACAATCCCAACTCCTGCATGTTCCAGGTGATCGTCTGCCACTAAAAAATGTATACGATTCCTAAGAGGTGAAAGTCAATCCCAAGCATTTGACTCCAAGTTCAGCCTTCATCCATGACAAGAAGCCATCCCTTTGTCCTCAGGCGTATCCTGAGAATCCCCAGTCCCCTTCCAAACTATGGCTTCTGTTGTTTCTTCTTATTACACCAGAGAAACCTGAGAATAAGCTGCTGGTGGCTTTTCACACGCAGAAGTGTCCATGGCCAGAGATGCTCACCCTGCCCTAGTCCAGGGTTCAGTTCCTTTCTCAAGATCCCAGGCAGGACCCAAACTGCTCCACCTGCAAAACAGCAGGGCCTAGCAATGGTGGTCCATTGGCCTTGACTTTTAAGGGACCACATGGTCCTGTGTGAGCCTGTGGTCCTCACCCTTTGGTTCCAGGCCACCTGGAGGCTGAAGGGTAGCTGGATTGCTGATGACTGAACACTCAGCCACCTTGCTCTGAAACCCTTTCCTTTTGAGTTCAGAAGTTAAGTTTGAGTAATAAATGTCATCCAAGGACCTCTCATCTTTCCTGAGAATGTTGCTGGCCAGCTGGAAGATGAAGATCACACCATAGATGCCAATGATGGTGAGGATGTACCAGGCGGCGCTGGTCGCATCCAGCAGCCTCAGGGTCCTGGTGGAATCGGTGCTATTCCTCCCCTCCACAGAGTCGTTCAGGAGGGAGCTGGGCTGGGTCTGGTTGAAGGCTTCCTGGGGTTTCCACTTGATCACTACGGAACAGAGAGGCCCAGATGAGACGGACTTTACTGGGCTAAGAGTGTAGGCCCGTATCTACAACCATGGCAGGTGCATGCTCAGAACAGCATGCAGAGGCTTTCTGTGCAATAGGTGAGAACCTACCAACAAATATACCACACTCTTTCCAGAAATCAACAGTTCAAAACAAGTTTTTTTTAATATAACATCAAGTCTAACCATACTTGAAATTGTTTAAATGTGTTTGCATGCCAGAAAACCAAAATCCAGGAGACCGAAGAAATGGCTCATGGATAAGAAGGTGTGAGACCCAAGAGATGACTCATGTCAGATGTCTCACAACTGCCTGGACTCTGCCCCCAGGGATCCTGTTCCCCCTCCTGGTCTCCATGGGCACCTTCACACATGTGCACAGAGACACATGCATCAACACATAATTAAAAAATAAGCCAGGCAGTAGTGGCGCACACCTTTAATCCCAGCACTCGGGAGGCAGAGGTAGGTGGATCTCTGTGAGTTAGAGACCAGCCTGGTCTATAGAGTAAGTTTCAGGACAGCCTCCAAAGCCATAGAGAAACCCTGTCTCAAAAAAACAAATAACTAACTAACTAACTAACTAACTAACTAACTAACTAACTAACTAACTAAATGCTTTAAAAAACTACAAATGGCAAACCGTATAAACACTGATATTTATACTACTGATATTCTTACCAGCCTTCAGTCCTAAAAGAAAAAAAAAATCTAAAATCTCAGAAATTTATGTAGCAGGGATCACAGGAAAAAGACTTAGGACCATCAATATAAAGGAGAGTGTCAACATGAGGAAAGGGTGAATTAAAAAATGGAAGACATTTTCTCATCTACTCTCTTGCCAACTTGTGCCCCTTGAGAACTCACTGTGTGGATATGTGTATGGGGCAACGAGGCCCTGTGGTCAAGTTTAAATCTGTTCCATCAACAGAGAGGGCTTCTTGGCAGGCTCTGTGGACACTGAAGATGAGCTTGCCTTTGCCCTTGCCACTTGTCTTGAGCAACGTGTCCCAAAGACACTCTAGCACTGGTCTGAACTGCAGAATCAGTCCCCTGGGTTGGTGGGCCCCACAACCACAGACTCAACTAGCCATGGATAGGAAGTATTTGCAAAGACAACACCGAGCTTGTCCTGAAGCCCAAGGGCCCGTGTCCTCCTGTTATTCCCTAAACAGTACACCAGGACAACTGTTTATGTAGTATTTACAAGTGGCTAAGCTGAAAGTAATGTAAAGGAGATTGGAACACACCGAGAATGTGCACAGGGCATTTTCAAATTGTGTATTTTATGTAAATGACTTAACCATTCGTAGATTCTCTTGTCTGTGGGAACCCTGGAGTCAGTCTTCCAAGGATAGCAAGGAGCTCCACATAACTGAGATGAGCATGACAGCCACCAAGTGAAGGTGATGTACTTGTGGAATTTCCATGCAGAGGAGCCATGGAAAGGTTTTTAGATCTAAACGTTAATCAGTGAAAACTGAGCTAAAACAGACTAGTGTAAAAACCTGTGAGTGCACTGACTGGCTCTCAGTTTCTGAGTGCATATGCTTAATAACTACATTCCCTTCCCTGTGGCAAATACCTGAGGTAAATGAACTTATGAAAAGGAAAGGTCGTTCGGTCTCAGCTTCAGAGGTTTCTCCCCACAGTCACTTGGTGCTGTCAATTTCTGTCTGTGACAGAGCAGCAAACCATGGAGGGGGTGTGTGGTGGAGGAAGGGACTCTCCTATGGTGGCCAAGAAATAGAAGGGGTTGCTGGATTCCCAGAGTCCCCTTCATGGTCACTCCTCCAACGACCTAATGTCCTCCTAAGAGGTTCCACTAGCTCCCAGAAGCACTGATGACAACGTCTCCAAGCCACAGCAGTGTGCCATACTGTGGGAGAACATAAAGAAATGAGTACCATTGGTCGCCCCTAGAAAGGGAGCTGGGGTAGGAGATGGACTTTCCATGGCGCCCCCTTTTGCATACTTCATGTTATGCAATGTATACTTATTTTCAAAATAATTAATTTTCAAAAGGAAAGAGTACAAATTTCCTGTTCTGGTCTCCTTGGCTCTGGGTAAAGACATTGTGTTCTTATCTGATAGGAAGCTCAAGACCTCGGATGCTGCCACCGAGGGAGCCAGAGAAGCCACGCTTTCCCAAGTGACTCTGTTGGCTTCACCTCAGTCTGCATGGCCCATCACATGGCTCTCAAACCGCCCAGGGAACATTAGTTTGCTACTCTCTGTTTTCTAAGGCAAGACGTCAGAGTTTTGTTCTGTTTTAAGTCAGAGTTCTTTGGAAGGATGAGTGGATAATCATACTCATTTTATATAAAGGACTGTTTAAATGTAAATCTCTAAGCCACACTTGTCAAAGCCCAGCACAAATGAGATTAGAATCTCATAGCTCTCGGAAGCATTTTCTAGGCTGCTGGTAGATTAGTTTGAGACCTTGAAGGAACACAAGGGAGAAAATCTCACAATTACTGTTAATTTTTTTTAAATAGCAAACCAACCCAGTAAGAATACAGTAAATTTTAATTAGTGCAAGAGAATTTAAACTTAAAATGAAGGCATAAACTCATAGAACTTTCTGGAAACTGCTAGAATGCTTTTATATATTCAAGTACAGAGCAAAATCTATCCAGCTATGAGCCCAATCTCAACTCAAAAGTAACTACACCGATGATGCAGTTGGTGTGCTTTGTCTATTTAGGGTGAGAATAAACTAGGTTGTATTTGAAAGGATAAACACACCCTGTGGCAGGTGTGCCCCCCCCCACACCTGTTATTTGCTGATGTGAAATAAAGGACGACAGCCAGAGCCGCCGCTCCCACTACTCACGCTCCATGAGCTAGTCTTGGCCTTGACTCTCAGGAGCAAATTCAAGAGGCTGCCACAGAGTGGAGAGGGGATGATGACAGGGCTCTGTCCTGCAGGGCACAGCCCCAGTGTGCCCAGGCTGCACCCCAGGCACTGCAGAGCAATCCCAAGCAAAGCTTAGCCCACTGCAAGTAGAGACTTCTCTTCTTCAGCTGAGCAGAGGGTCTGAGTGAGTCCTCTGTGCCCTGAGGCACAGCCTGTCTGTGACTTGTTAGAGAGGTCCAAGTCAAAGGGCTTTTCCTTTTCTTTTTTAAATGCAGGTCCTAGGAAGCCTGCAGCCCTGCCCTCCGCAGGGTGCATGGGAAGCCTGTGGTGCTGGGCGTTCTCTCTGCGAATGGCAGAGCAGCTCCAAGCCGGATGCCTCCTGCACTGCCCTGTCCTGCACTGCCCTGTCCTGTATTGCCAAGCAAAGGGTGGTAATATGAATCTTGTTCAGCCAGGAGAAAAAGAGTTTGTTTGTAACGAGCATGTTAGCCCTTGCCAAGGATTCAGCCTTTTCTGTGTCTGTGGAGAACTCTTGCTTTTAGGCATTTGAAATCCAATCCCCTAGCTTTCTGTCTGTGCTCCTGATCTGCATTTTCTTGTAGGACTGTTCCATGTAAGCTAGTCTGTCCCCAGAAAGAGAATTAAGTGGCAGAAAAATAAACCATGTGTGCTGGTTGCCTTGACTTCAGCCCCCTGCTCCCAAAAGTCGTTCAGCCACAACTTCAGGCCCTCCTCGCCCCTGTCCCTCGGAAGCTGGTCTGGAATCTCCTTCTGAAACCAGACATTGGGACCAGAATTCTTGTACTACAGAGCTAGGTGGTACCCATAGATGCTCTGCCCCCTTGTGGTGAGAATGTGTTATAACAACCAGGCCATTGCCACATAGATGTGTGATAGGAGTCTATGTGGCCAGCCCACAAAATTTCAATAGACAGCTATGCAGGTGTCAAGATACGTTTTCTATCAAAATAATGATTATATATGTGGATTTTACACATGGGCATGCAATAATAATTTTTGCAAATAAAATTTTGACAATAAAAAGAGCGTAAAAACTGCAAAAAACAAAACAAAACAAAACCACCCAAGCAGGTGTGCACACAAGCACACATACATAAACACCACCCAAATTCTGATAGTTATGCCTAGTTGATGAAAGTTCTGCAAAGGATTGTGGGGTATGTCCGGCCTGGTCCTTCCTCAGCGGGCAGCCCCTGAGCACTACATGTCACATAGCCGCCATGAGGCCAATGCTACATGAACACACAGTAAAACAAGTCATGATGGCTCTAGAATGTGACTCTACCCTGTGAATTTCCTATCACAAGATCACAAATATTTTTGTATTTGTGATCCATGAAATATTTTTTGTTGTTTTTGTGGGGGGTATGGTATGTATATATGTATGTGTATGTATGTGTATGTGTGTGTATATGTGTGTATGTGTGTGTATGTGTGTGTATGTGTGTATGTGTGTGTATGTGTGTGTGTATGTGTGTGTATGTGTGTGTATGTATATGTGTGTGTATGTGTAT